TTGATCCTTTGGGAACGACTCTCTGTGTTGCTTTCCCAATTGATAGCCTTCACACACTTCATTTACATCCTCCAAGTATGGCAAACCATGTACCATCTCTTTCTCCTTAAGCTAATGTAGGCCTTTCAAATGCAAATGGCCCATTCTTTTATGCTCCATCTTGATGCACATATTGTGATCCATTTGAGGTTTATGTAGCACCAGCTTGTTGTGGCTTCTGTCTAGACTCTCATGGTTTGTTGTTAGACTTCCAATTTTTCTGACACTTAGCAGAACCAGTTTGGGTACTATTCTTGTTCTGCCCTTTTGTATCGACTGAGAAAGAGCCAAATGCCTTCTCAGCTATGTCCACATTATGCATGTCAAAACGTTGCTCTTGACACTTCAATATTGCAATAATCTCCTGCAATTCAATAGTCTCCAAACTCTTTGTATTTTCAATCACCAAGCAGATAGGATCATACACTCTACTAAGATTGATTAACACCTTTTGAACCAGTCTCTCGTTTGATAACACTTCTCCAAACATTTCCATTTAATTTATCAATTCATTTAACCGAGTAAGATATGCAGATAGTTGTTCACCTTCACGCATTCTCATATACTCAAATTCTCGTTTGAGATTCTGGAGTTTTATAGATCTGACCTGATCACCACCATGGTACTCACTGTAGAGCAAATTCCATGTCATTTTAGCTGAGTCGGCGTTTGCAATCCGAGGGAAGATCTAGTCAGAAACTACGTTTTGTATAATGCCCAGAGCCTTTGCGTCCTTCATAAGCACAACAATCATCTCTGCATCAGCTTCTTCTTCCGATGATTCTTCAACTTTCTTCGTCTTCTTCTTCGAATCAAGGGTTGAAATCCCTTTTTCTACCAGACTCCATAGCCCAAGAGATTTGAAGATCGTCACCATCTTAATCCTCTAGAACTCGTAGTTCTCACCGGAGAAGATCGGAGTTCTTACTTCTGAACTTCCAGATCAAGCCATCTTTTGGTCCAAATCAATCAATTTCTCTTCTCAGATGCTTAGCTGAGCTTCGATTGAGCTCAGTGACTTCACAACTTACGCCCAGATCAAAAGATCAAACCTGGCTCTGATACCATGTTAGAGTTTTGAATAGATTGAAAGAGAAGGAAAAAACGTAGAGACAGGAGAGAGCTTAGAATGAATCAAATCGAGTGTGTATTTTCTATTGCATGCTCTGACAATCATCGAGCAAGCTCAGTGTGAGCTATATGACCGTTAGAGAGAATAGCTGGATTCTCTTACATCACAGAGAATCATAGCCTTACATCCAAAACTGCTCTCTAGGATTATTACACGTGGCTATCACCACTTTACATGATTAACGCCTAACACTTGTCTAACTTAGTGACTAAGTGAATACACCATTTAGCTTAGAGGCCTAATTACATTCTTATCAGCTCACCACTTACATTTCAACATGCTTTTCATATCATAAAGAAGCACTCTGGGTGGACCGTCGCCGTATCCTGGAGTAAGTCCAACAAAATAGTGCACTAGCGCAAACTCACCAGTGTGGACTGTACCCAAAGCATCAACGTAGCGCGAACAATCAAGATATCTTGGCTCTGATGCCAAGCTAATGGTCTCCTTAACCCACACATGGTTATGATAGTCCTTCAAAGTCCATAACATGATCTTGTCCCGTTTCCATGACATGTCAACAATCACACCCACGCATCCCCCTACCTTAACCATACTTGGATGGCAATAATCATCAGGATTACCATCACCTATATAATGATTGGCATCTTGATCAAAATAATCAACAATCTCTTGATCATAATCTTCAGGCAGTGGGATCGCTTTGAATGTCTCCTCTCTAAAGTCAAATGCGACTATCAATTTCGGCTTCTCGTATATCCAATGGACGGCCCCATTGAGGCACACACTTCCACTATGTCATATTATTATAAGAGTCAAAGGCATAAGCTAGAGAATCAAAAGGAAGATGGCGAGGGTCTACCTGCAATGGCCTCCACCAATAATCCCTACCTAGTGTGAACGTGTTAAACTGAAGATCCCATTTTCCATCTCTGTCTAGACGAAAGGAGAGGATCTGGAGAACCTTATACTTGTTGGTACTTGGAATGTACCCAAAGCGATATGTAACCGAAGGCTTGCAGGTTTCTATTACACGGGAATGGGGAAGTTGGATGGACTCTCGGGTGGTAGGGTTAAGTATGAAAACAGAGTTAGAGTGAGAGGATGCACAAACCAAGCCATGGACACTCTGCACATCAGTTAAACAATCATTCGGAAATTGGAAAATTTCGGCCCCGGGTGTTGGAACAGTCCTTTGTTGCTCTATTTTTGACGAGAAGAACTCGTCCATCCGTTTGAAAAAAAAGTTAGTGGTGTCATTGCTGTGAAAGTCGTGAAGCCGGCGACAAAGAAAAGGCTGCGGATGAGGGAGGAACAAGACTTGCATACGCACTTGCATCGCATCAGATCCTCTGCTGGTAGCCGTGGGAGTATATGAGAGAATATGATTTCGTCTGCAAGTTCCGGGTTCGTTGCACCACATTTTATGGCCATTGAAAGACCTCCGACCTCGAAACCAACAAGTCTTCAAATTAAACGTTTAACCTCGAGAGCCAGGGAACAAGAGAGAAACAGTACGTTAAGAAACAGAAAATAAACCCTGGACAAGAGGATGCTTTACGCTTGACCCTCATTTAAATAGAACACACACACAAACTTTGTTCCAAACTTTAGTTGAGTCGGTTCAAAACTCAGCCTAATCCAAATTGGCCTCGGCCCGACCCAAAATCCCAAAAATTGGAAAAGGCCCACAAACAATGGCCCACACGTAATGCTGACCTTTCCAGTTCTGAATGCTGATTGTATGCGGAAACCAGTATCCTTACACAAATAGGATTATGTACATAACACGGCTTTAGGACTTGAATTACCGCTTCTTTATTTTTGTTTTCTGTTTTGGTTTGTTTGGGATTTTATGGGAAGAAGGAAGGGAGAGTCACCATTGAGTATCCATCTATCAAGTATGCTTTCTTCTATATTCTCTCTGCAACTTCATCAAGCCTCTTTTTTCATATTGGATTTGGTTCTTTTATTTTATGCCTCTTAAAATATTTAGATATTTTTGGTTTTGTTACGATCACTGCAGACAACGCAGGGGAGGACTGGTTCAGATTGAAGGAAGCAAAAAACTGATCAAGCGGTGTCATGGGTTCTGTTTGCTGTTGCTTCCATGTACAAGATGACATTGACAATGCCAATAATAATAATAATAATAATGATGTTGGCTTCATCCCTAACTTGTGCAACAAAGTATGTTTCTGGGTTTTCCATTACAAGCAGTATCCCAAATTCTTTGGTTCTGTTTATATTTTATTTTATTTTATTTTGGCTTTACTTGCTTCTAATCAATTTCTGATAATGATATCTATCATTAAATGTTTAGATAAAGGAATTTGCAGCCTCAATCAAGAATGGGAGAAAAGAGTCAGTCAATCCATCTGCTGATCAGGCTGCACCAGACTCTTCTACAGCACCCAATGAGATTACACCATCTGGAAAAAGAGCCCAAGAACTTGTTTATTTACATGATTCAAATTCAATAGAACATGAGGATGAATGCTCCACATGTATGGAAGGTGATTATTATTTTCTCAATCTCTGGTGCCATATGGCAAAATCTATAACTGATTTTTTAAAGATGTAATTTATCTTCTTATTAGTTCGGTGGTAAACTTGGCACCTCTGTTTTTGTAATGACTGCAGAATACACACCTGAAAATCCTAAGACAACCATGCAGTGTTCTCACCACTACCACCTTGCTTGTATATATGAATGGATGGAGAGAAGCCAAAACTGCCCTATTTGCAGACGGGTAATCAATTTCTTCCCTAACTCTTATAACTTTTATAGATAACAAATATCTTTTTTTGGCGTTTGAATTTTTACATAACCTAATCCAAACTGTCGCCCAACTTCTTTTTCAACTCTCTTTTTTTTCAATCTACCAAGAAAAGTTTCAATCGTGCTTCCTCACAAAAGAGTGAGGTGCATGTAAGAGAGCTGGATTTGTAACTTCATAGGGAATTTGAGGGGACGTTTGGTATCATATTCAAATAGGGAACTCAAAAATTATGATTTTTCTTAAAAACAAGGAGTTCTTAAATTTATGTTTAAGATTCAAAAACTTGTTTTGTATGCAACTTGAAAACTGTTTTCAAATCTTAAAAATTTGAGAACTTGTGGGTTGTTAGAAAAAAAACATATATTTTTTGTTTTTAATAATTGGGGTGTTTTTTAGTTGTTCTTGAGTTTGAGTTTTTAAAAATAGGGCTACCAAACAGGTGTTCTTTGTTTTGAACTCAAATTCCTTTTTTGAGTTTAAAAGGTTGGATTCAAGTTGAATACCAAACATGCCTTGACTGTCTTCAAATTGATTTTCCAGTTGATGCTATTTGATGAATCGTCTTGAGACTTAACCAAAATGTCTGGCATGCAATGATCACTGAAGAGTGAAGAGCAACGACCAACTGAAGTATGTGTGTGTGTATATATATATATATATATGTGTGGAAGAGTTTAAGCAATCTAAACTCTAAGAAGTAGATGCACGAAAGGCTCATAATCCATATGTTAGATACCCTAGATTTATATCAATTCTTCCATTCCTTTTTTGAAAATCTTTCTTCTCGAAAGATCAAGGCTCTGTAAGCATTCTATATATAACTTTCCGGCTTAAATTAATTGTCCAAATGAGATAAATGTTATTCTAGCTGTTAACCTTTCTCTTATATATGAAGTCCATTCCCATGATATTTCCATTTCTTTTTCCTGTGCATCACCACAGTGTCTTATATTCAAACATTTTCTATAACCTTACTTTATTTACCCTTCAATTTTTTCTGATTTCTGATTTTTTTTTTTTTTTTTTTGGTGGTAAATTAAACAAAAAGGCAGTCATATAGAGTTTATATGGCATACATATATTTACTCAACAATTATGGCATCAATAAATAGAACAGTTTTAAAGTTCAAATCCTCATTGGCATTGTTTGATAGTCCGTCAATGATTGGATTGCGACCACATACCTTAGCAATGTCTAGGTTCAAATTAACCAAGAAACCAGAAATTTAATACACAACCAAACCAACATATGTAGTTTTGTTTTGTTCTTTTTGTACTGATTGATGATCAAGCAGCAAAGCATCCGAGGTTGCATGAATATAATGGTTCCAGAGTAAGGTCCAGCTGGTTCCTCCTCACCTGAAGGAATTCATCTTGCTGCGTGCCCCTGCGTATGATCATATGATGAATTGCAGATTAGCAAGTTAATTAATTAATGGAAACCCACTTAAATAAATTCTGACCCGAAAAAAAGAAGTTAAGTTTATCGATTCAGCGGTGTTTTAAAACATATTTCCATGTAACTTAGAATGATTTTAGATGTAAAGTATTTACTAACAAAGAAATGAAAACATTAATTTCAAGATAGATAGGTCCTAGAAAATTAATCACCCCATGTTCAGACATGGAAGCGGCTGTGGAAGCATGTTAAGGCCATTGTTTTGCTGCTCCCAGTTATGAACCTCCTCGGCTGCGGCCTTCTCCTTCTCCTTGATCTATTCACAAATTGCACACAGGAAAACAGAAACCATAAAAATAAAAATAAAAAAGAAGCAAAATAATTAAAGACATATATAACTTCTTGATGAGTTTATTGTGGCACCTGGTAGTTTATTTAAAAAGATTATCTATCAAGTTCATGAAGTTTCCGTCGCGTGCATGCAATTTTAATAGAACATAAGCAATTTACCTTCTTTGCCAGCAAGTTATTTTGCTCCTGCATCGCCCTTTCCTGTCACAACGAATGAGAGAAAACATACGAACATATTTAACTCGATGCTGCAATTTTTACAAGTAAAAAATTTATGCTACAACAGTCCTAACCTTTCTCTGAAGCTCAGAGATGGACTCGTGCATGAGTTGGTTCTGCAGTAGAAAGAAAATAATTTACAGTGCCATCAAAACAAATACAAGTCAACGTAACATAATATTAAAGTGTTTGTTTATTTTCAAAAGTAGAATCAGGAGGCTGATTCTAGCTAGTTAGTTCAGTACTTTTCTTAATCGAATTTGTTTAAGAGCGGTCTCGAGCTGGTGCTCCAAACTTTGGATCTCTTTCAGAGTCAACGAATCGAGATCTTCTCCCAAATAGTGCCTGCCCATAGAGGTTCAAGTAATTAATAAAAACATGCAAAGGAAAACAAAGTGAGCATGTTTTTGTAACTGGAGCACTAAATAGTACCTCTGATTTCTTTGCAAAAGCTCAACTTTAGCCTTTAGTCTAGAATATTCGAAGGTCCAGTTACACTGCGCATGATATATATATATATATATAACGTACAACGTTACCAAGAGACCATATCAATCATTTAAAAGAGAATAAGGAAGAAACACGTCATGCATGCTGCAGTCTAAAGATACAATAATATCCGCACAGTTCTGTTTCAGGCAAGTACCTGTGATTCAAAATCGGGTTCGACTAGCTGTCTTTCTGCGTAAGAGTATCTCTCATAGCGGTCAAGTATTTGATCCATGCTGTACATGATCAGCGCATCAACATACATAAATCTTACAAACTAATTAGTATATATCTAGATGAAATCAAAATGTTAATTATGTTAAATTTCAGATAAACGGATCAGCAGCTCACTACTAGTAACACCTATATTGTCCCCAACTTAACCACTTACAAAATCGAGTAGGTGGGACAAAAGGCCTCGGTGATATTAGTAGTAGAACTACTCATTATACAGTGTAATTTATTTAGTCAAGATTCTTATGTGGGACTTATATTCTTCAACAAATTAGCTAATAATCAATGATAGATTATATCATTCAAGAACTTTCAAGTCATGTTGATTAGAATTTCTTATATGCATTTAAATGGTAAATATTTTACTTTAGTCTGTGCTGATGCCCTTTCTTTTTCTTTGAGCTTTCTCAGGGTCTACACATATATATATATATATATATATATATAGTGTGTTAGTGGAGTATTTCCTGCTGCTTCCACTCCTTTGTTTCTCATCATTTTCACTTTTGCTGACAAAAACTTCGTTGGAGATTTAACTATGTTAACAGGTTTTTCTGCTTAGTCTCGTCACTGATCCAAATTAAATACAAGTATTCCTCACTAACATAATTTTGAGATCAAATTTAGACAAGTACGCATGAAGTAATTTGACCAAAAAAGAAACAAAAGCGTATAATCTTAGAGTACTTCTTTACATCAAATCAAGTACGCTGTCATCGATCTGCAAATTACCTTGCACGATCTACATCTTAAAAACATAAACTAACCAGCATCATCAGATGACAAATTGATCAGCCAGCAGGAGTCAGGACATAGTTATACAATGAAACCCTACCGACAAAGACAACAAAACCACAGAAATCAAGAAAAACATGTATGTATAATATTTACCATGAATCCGTGGCGTACTCAAAGAGTTTGCCCTTGTTGGAGAAGACAACCAGAGCAACCTGAGCATCGCACAAGACAGAGATCTCATGAGCCTTCTTGAGCAACCCAGTTCTTCTTTTGGAAAAAGTCACCTGTCTGTTGATCTTGTTCTCTATGCGCTTCAGCTGAACCCTACCCCTCCCCATGATAACAGTTATGATCTCTCTCAGTTAAAACTTTACACTCTTTAATTTTTCTTTCACCAAAAAACCCAAACAAGAGCAAATCCAAGCCCAGCCCCAAAAAAAGAAAGACAACAACTTGAAACCCTATATATATAAACAAATGAACTGAACTGAATTAATTTTGTTTTCTTTTTCTTCTTGTAGCCAAAGCTCAGAAGGCGTCTGAGAAAGTATGTGCAGTATATGGAAAATGGGGATTATAATTAATATGGCACGAGTTGAGATGGAAAAGCGGTTTCATGGCGTACAAGTGGTTTTGAGGATGTGTTGTCGAGTTCTGATTGGCTGGGGTGTAATGTGTCGTCGTTTTCCTCTGTATTAGGAACCACATTTTATCTTTCTTGTATTCTAGTGGAGCTCATTTAGTAGCTCACTAGTTACTTACTATCCTCACACATCGTACGGTCTTCTTTACACTGACAGCTCTCGCCCGGCACATTACCGTGATGTTGACCGTTTAAGCATTTGTATTTGAAAGCACTTTTGGTTTCATTAATTCGTCAAGTTAGTGTATCACTTATCATTATTTCGAGTTTGTATATCCGTTTTATGTAAATTAAAGTGATTTGGAACGAGTGTTGCTATTTCCATCTCTGTCTTATTTTTTTTATTCATTTTATTTCTTCATTCACTATTTAAATTTTAAAAAATAATATATTATATTTCTACCCACCATTATTCCTAAAATACCCTTTAATTATTGACACTTGGACATTCACTAAATTTCAATAGTCGCCACACACTCCACCAAACCTAAGAAGAACCAACTGTGATGTACCTTCCACCAAACCTAATATGAACCACCTGTGCTGGGTTTTGAAAATGATTGAATTTGTGGAATTAGGTCTGCTGCGTTATAAAAAGTAGTAGAATTTTTGGAATTGGGTTTTCGAGGTTTTCTAAAATATTGAATTTATGAAATTGGGATTGTGTGGTTTTGAAGAATGTTGAATATGTGAAATTGGGATTGCATGGTTTTGAAGTTTTGAAGAATGTTGAATACGCGGCTGGTGATGAGGTGAGGAGGGGAGGTCCGTTCCTGGTGTTGGGTGGTTATTTGTTGGCCTTTTTTCTTCTAATTTTTGTTTTTTTTTTTACTTTTATTGTTTTGACTTAACAGTGTTAATTTAGAGTTAAGTGAGTATCCAGGTGTAGAAGTCAATTTACAAAGGGGTTAATTTGTTTTTAAAATTTTAAAGATAAGGTGGATAGGGAAATAGGACAAGTGTATGGAAATAGCAACACTCTTTGGAATATCGCTTTGCATAAGAAAAATGATTAATTTGTTAATTTATTAAACCTGTTTGGCTAAGGAAATGTTCAGTTTGCGGCACACATTAGAATAATAATTTATGATTAAGTTTGACAATAACATGTCATGTCACTCTAACTTCTTCGTATTTCTTACTAAGTTGAGTCATTTAGTTATTGTTCTACTGATGACTTGTGTCGAGAGTTTGCTTAGAACGGTGCGCCGAGAAGGGGGGCGCATTTTTCAATGTTGTGTTGTTGAGTGACAGACAATATAGTACGTTGCCCCTCCTTTTGTTGTATTTTTTTAATTTCTTTTAATAAGATATAATGAGATAAAATAAATAATGGAAGGTGTGGATTTATGGTAAACAAAAAATGGAAACAATATAGACTAGTTCCTTGGCCAATCACCGTCCTACAAAAAATGGAAACATTATATAATCTTCTGCTCATTTGTTTTATGACATGACTCTCATTTAAGGGTGCAAGTTGGATCGAAAATTTCCAATTTTGGAAAGTTCAAATCAATTCCGATATTCAAAAAATTTAAAAAAAATTGTATTTGACTCAATGACTAGTTTCATGTTGAAATAATGTATCTCAAGATTCTGAAAATTATGCATTCCGAAATACATTAGGGTTTCAAAATTATGCTACACTCAATGACTAGTTTCATGTTGAACTAAACATGATTAAATGACCAAATAAACATAAAAATGTATGTTAATATATATAATATATTAGGTGAGCGGTGAAATATTAAAAGAAATGTAGTTAAGGAAATTTGTAGGGCACAATCATTTTTTATTTTTTTAGGACGAAGCACAAATCCTAATGTAGTACAGGTATATTTAACACAAAGTTCTTTAATGTTCTCTTATTCTCTGCATGTGAGACAATATCGCTCCAAGATTCAGAGCACCCACGTCCCGGGGAAGATTAATCCACTATGACTTTGCGTTGAGGATTGTAGCTCATGATGATCCGTTACTGCAGCAGGATTGTAGCTGTAAACGTATCCCCCATAGAAACAGAACAAAATTTATTTATTTATTTATTTATAAAATAAAAACAGATGCAAGGAATTAATGCAATTTGATTAAATGGTTACCCGATCTGCAATGTATTGTTGCATTGTGAATGGTCAAGGACTCCCTCAAATTGAGCAGCCTGGTGGTGGCTGCTATTTGGAACATTTTGATTTTGCTCCTCAGTTGTCCATGAATATCTTTCAATGGCTGCGTCACATTCCTCCAGCTGCCCAATTTACATGAAAATTTAGACCCAAAATGTATAGCTATTTCAAAACCACTACAAAAAAAAATGTTGGCAATAGTCACTTTTTTTCGGGGTTACTTTCGTAGATTATTGATCGCGTTTTCACGTGACTAAAAGCTTTAGTATAAGGAGAGAAGACATGAATTTGTTTTGATTAATGGAAAATAGAAATGAATATTGGTCAAGTAGCTGAGCATGGGTTGAGCTTGAGTGTATATTTATTTACCTTCCTTCTCAGTTCATTGTTTGCTTCCAGCAGCATCTGTTCCTGCGCAATTAATTCTTGAAAGACTTGGTAACATAATCCACCAAAAAGAAAGCGCAAAAAACAAAAAATACTTGGTAACAAAAATTAGATAGTCTCTGCATATATATTAACCTTCCTCAGAAGATCAGAAATCTGACCATGCATAACTTGGGTCTACAAACAAATAAATAGCAAATTGTTACCATTTAAAAACAAATAAATAATATATGTGCGTGTGTGGAGGGGGTTTCTCACACAAACACTATCAATGTGCTACGGTGATTTGAATTTGAAATTATTAGTCTGCAAATCAAGCCCCTTTTGTACTGAGCAAGACTCCGTTGGAAACTGATACATGTGCTAATTAATTTGGAGCAGGTTTTGAAAATATACGTACCTTTGTTGACCTGATTTGCCTCAGCGACATGTCGAGTTGATTCTCAAGCTGCTGGAGCTCCTTGGTGCCTAAATGACCCAAATCTTCCCCAAGAAAATTTCTAAAAAGAATTCCAAGAAAATGAACACTCAATATAATTATATGACCTACATAACAATAAGAAGGGTGCTTTGCAAACAAGTTTCTAATTCTATCGAAATGTTGATCATATATACCTCTGCGTGAGCTGTAGGACCTCTACTTTTGCTTTTAGGTTCACATAATCTTGGTATCTGCTCTGCTTGTGAACATGCCAGAGAAGTTCAACTACTTATGTCAAAAATCAGTGAGGCAGTTATGTGGAGAAATTTAACTCCATTACCCGGCACATACAAACATGCATCAGCCAAACCAAGAAATTAAGGGCCCGTTTAATAACCATTTCAATTTTAGTTTTTAATTTTCATTTTTTGTGTTAGAGTATAGAGGAAAAAGAGGGAGAATGGAAGAGTGAGAATGAGAGTGAAGATGGGATTGAGAGGGAGGAGGGAGGAATGAGTAGTAAAAAAAAGTGAAAATAGAAACTAAAACTGAAATCTATTTGAAATAGTTCACTTTTGTTACTCTTCCCTCCGATCCTCTCATCCTCTTATCCTCTCTCTCAATCTCATCATCACTCCCATTCTCACTCTTATTTTCCTCTATAGTCTATCATATAAATTGAAATGGTTATCAAACGGGCCCTAAAGTTATCCCTAAACAGAGTGAGAGCCTAAGTAGTACTATTGGATAATGAAGAAATTTATGGGCATATAGGTTGCATTATATGCTTCTTAAAGTTAAAGCCAATTAATAATAGACAAACCATCGACAACCTGTGAATCCTGAGCAGGTTGACTCGCTTCCAATGCACTATAACTGCATCTTTGATACCTCTCAAGTGTCTTCTCCATGCTGAAATGAAAATGAAAGCAGGCAAGGATTGTAGGACATTATGCAAATTCAAAAGAGCAAAGAGGGCACATGCACTCTGTACATTCACATGCTAGGAAAGTCAAAAGGCCCAAATCATGTCACAATAAAGTTAGTACCATTCAAGCCTTGATATCTTATCTTGAGAATTGTATGAGAGGAAAATAATGGGAGTTGAAACCGTAAAAATAAAATTTTACAAGAGGTATAATTCAATTTTAATATTAGTGGAACATTTTCCAGCAGGCATGCTACACATCAAGGGAAGGAACACCATTGAAATTCTCATGAAAATAAGCGGCTTTGAGAAGAGTTTATAAGCTTATAAGATTGTGATATAGTTTGTGTTGGTGCATTTCCTAATAATTTAAAGCTTGATTGAGTTTGAAACTTCCAATCTCTATTCCTTATTACTTTGTTTTGTAAGGTGTACACACTGAGGTTACACTAATATGTTTCTTTATCCATTCGGGTTGCGTTTATCATACCGTGAATCCGAACATCGATTCATATACGAATCTATTAACCTAGGTTACTAGACGTTTGTTCCAACTTAGAGAAATATACTTGTACCATAAATTTCAGAGTAAGGTCATTACGGGTAATGAAACTGAATCAAAGGGCTAGCTACGTTTCTTGAACCAAAAAGAAAAGGACCTATACAGATATATATATATATATATATTCTGACAACCCTCATTCCTCACATCTACCGTTAATTCATTATGAAAGATATCCTTCTTAGTAACTTAATTAGGGAGAATATTGATTATGCACACCTTAGAGAGAATCTTGATTAGTACGAATATGTGCAATCCATTGAATAATTTACAAAAGAAACTCAGAATTGATCATATCAACCATTCAAAATATTTGATTAGATCTTCTCAAGTACACATTTAGTGATATAATAATCATCCACATAAATTCTGGAAATGGTCTCACGGGTTCAATTCATACAACTTACAAGCAAGAAGCCTTAAAATAAAATAAATAAATAAACCCCATCTCGAATTCCATACGCAAACAATTTCTGTAATATTAAGGCACCCTTTACCTTGCAACACACCCAAGTACCCTAAAAATTACTCTGCATTTTTTGTTATTATAAATATGAAAAAATTCATAACAAAAACACAAAGAAACTCTTATATATAATATCAACGCACCTAGAGCCGCTGCAGAACTCATAGAGCTTGCCGCGGGTGGAGAAGACGATAAGAGCAACCTCAGCATCACACAGAACTGAGAGCTCGTACGCCTTCTTTAGCAACCCATTTCGTCTTTTTGCGAATGTCACCTGTTGGTTTATTTTGTTCTCGATCCTCTTCAGCTCTACCTTCCCTCTTCCCATTATTAATTTCTGGATTTGGTATGTAATAAATATGTTCAAATCTTTTAAATAATGTATATTATAACATAAATATGGTACTAGGTTTTGTTTTCTTTTATTCTTGCTCTCTAGGCTAAGCTAAGTTAGGCTTTTGAGAGAGAGAGAGAGAGAGAGAGAGAGAGAGAGCTTTTTTAGGAACTTTAATTTGTTACCTCTTTGTTGGTTTGGTGTTCCTTAGCTTTGGCTTAAGAGAACATAGAAAAGGAATCATAAGCAGACTGAGTTGCTTTCTTTTTGGGTTTTCTTTTAGAAGACGAAGCAGGTTTTCAATTTTTTAGCTGTCTATTACATAAAATGACAGCAATGTCAACTCCATCTTGGACATTCCTAACTTTAGGGTTTCTACTACGTGTCGATGGGAGAATGGCCCTGGGGACCCTTGTGGAATACCAAAGCTTAGTCCAAGATATTTTTTATTCCCTCTAATGGACGGCATACTACAACATATCTAGTCTTATAGTTAGCGAGTCTATCAATATGAAGCATACATTTCACCTATACATTCACAGCTTAATTAACAACACAATATAACTGAGAGTTTGATTTGATTTTTTTTTTTTTTTTTGTTGCTTTATGTGGATAAATAACTATTGTATTTAGAATACAAGAAGCAGAGAAACTGGTGTGAAATGGAAATAGCATTGTTTTGCTATAATCGGCCAATCACAATATGCCAAGTGAAAAGGTTATTGCATGTGGTATACCATAATTAATCGAAAATAACACTGTTTTGCTATTCTTATTCTACACAAGTGTTTCTCGTAAAAGAGGGTGGTCATAATGGGAATGTAACTCCAATTGATGGAGAGTTAATAAACCTGCTTCAGTTCTTTTGTTTTTACCTGAAACAGACAAAAAAGAATAATAAAATAAATAAAAGAACTTTAGGGCAAGTGCTATTGTCCGTGTGTTGATGAGACATCAAAACCAAAGGCTATCAGCATAAATACAGACGATCGACAGCCCAACAAACTATTTTGTGGGAAGGTCTAGCATCCCTAATCCCTAGCCACATGGTTCATTGACCGACCACCAAAGCTCCTCCAAAATTATATTCGAATTTGAACACACACACGTATATTAATTTATATAGACCATACCTTTCTTTGCTTTAGCATTTGCCCAGCATCATGTTACTTATGATCCAACCAAACATACCTAGCTAAGCTAGGAGTCTAGGACTTTGATGAAAAGAAAACGAAAGCAAATATGAGGTCGTCATTGTCATTGTCGAGATTAAAGAGGAGCACTTAAAACGTGTCTGACTCTGACTGGTCAATGTATAGGGCAAGCTCTACTGGGCACTGCAGCACTGGGCAGGGGCCATGCAAATGGGGGATGGGATGTCGCTTTTTCCTCCGAGATTCAAGTAACTGCGGTGACTTTTTTAACACGTGTCCACTTCTCAAGCCTCAAGGCTAAAACCCTAAACTAGAAATTTTGTTTTTGATTAAAATGAGTTGGGCCAAATAAACTTGAAATTTGAAAATATTCCCAAGTCTTTTCTCTTGAGCTCGTTTGGGACAAACTGAAGCCCAGTCAGTTGGTCTCTTTTCAGTCCAAAAAGAAGAAGCCCAAACTTTTTTTTTTTTTTTTTTTCCTTTCTATACATAACACGAGCAGCAGATATTAGTGAAGGTGGGAGGAAATGAATCAGAATCCAATAAACTTGACTTGCATTTATGCAGATGATCAAAACAGGGACCAGAAAGAAGGAAGAAAAGAAGAGAAGTTTGAGTTTATCTGCTCGTGCCCCATGCGCAAGTAGAAGATATCCTTTGCAGACATTTGAGAGGGAACAAAACACAAGAGGACACCAACAAGTGCTTCTCAAAATCATGCTGCCAAAACAAGATAGGAGACATGAGTGACGTCTTTTTCTAAGTCACATAGAGAGAGAGAGAGAGAGAGAGAGAGAGAGAGAGAGCAAGTCTTTCCAAGAGACAGAGAGGGTTGGATTGAAACTTGGATGTGAATGTGGATATTATGCAGGCAGATACTTTTTAGGAGATAGAGAGCACTATCTGTGAATCCAGTTTGGCCACGTTTAATCTAATAACTAGGGGTATGTCCAATGTCTGAGAATATTTAGGGTTTTTTTTCTAAAATTTTATTTTTTGAAAGGGGGTCAAAGAATACTTTGGTTCATCTACATTTATAAAATCCTTCCTATAGATTCAAGTTGTTGGGTTCCACTCCATACACATCTCACAGAGACAATATGCATCTTATTATCCACTGTTCTTATCTTATCTAAATCCCTTTTCTTCTCCTAAGAAAACTTTTGGGTAACTGGTAAGCCCAGACTGATTGAGAGAGGGCACCCATTTGGAAGAGAATATTGCTTGCCAGCAATTAAACTTTTGAGGACACTATGGCCTATGGGGTGAGACTGGGGAACATTTTAGGGTACTGTCCCATACTGTCTTACCAACTCTAGCAAAGTTGGGTTTGGTGGGGTCATCGATTGGGCCTTTCTTCCCTCAGCCTCAAGACTCTAAAACCCTTTATGGGTATCTCAAGAAAGCCCTATATTTTGCTATAAGTTTGAATTTTGATCAATCAAACCCTTACTGTTTGACAAAATAAGATGTGTTTACGTTGTTACATTGTGAATGTAGACTATTGATTATGTTGATTCATGTCGTTTGATTGTGAATATGAACTATTATCATGTTGATTCATGTCATTTGATGGTGAATCTGAACAATTAATCATGTTAATTCTTGACCGAACATGTATGTATGTGACAATAAGTATAGCTACTTCATTTTATTTGATTCAAAGTGACAACAAGGAGTGAAGTAGAGGGCAGGGAGAGATGGGACTGATGTGGGAAAACAAAGGCCACGAAAGGTAACTTTTAGAATGCATGGTGCACAATAAAAGAAAGCTACAAAACATGTTGAACACAGAAATCTATCCAAGATTATACAGGATTGGCTAGAGGAGATGGATACGCAACTTTCTGGCGAGTCACGACAAGCATCATCTATGACAGTCGGCCTAACAGTCCATATTTGTGTGGCTTAGTCCAATGAAATTTTGAGTTTTTCTTCGTGTAGGACCTTCACGAGCCTCAGATATGGAGCATATATAATTATAAGTACGCCTGGAAAATGCGCTTCATCACTTCTTGCAATTACTTTTGCCCTACAGAAGATACCAGCTCTGCATTTCTGCTAAAAAAAAATTGTAGAAAAAAAGTTGTGGTGTTGAAAATGACATGAAATTAATGTAGAGTTACTATCAACCTGGTTCTCGTGAGTTCAACTATGGTGCATCTTATCTGAATTAATGGCAGACTGGCCATGCATAGGACCAGACTCTTAATCCGTTGCCAAAGATTGTTTTTAATTGGTAGGACCAGATAAGAAAGAAATTAATTCACGATCCTCTTTGCCCTGCTCTTGCAACCGTTGATTTTAATAGGGTACAAGATGATTATATTCTTCTTTTTATGGATCAAGATGGAAAAGCTCAAGTGGCATGGGATGAATGAAATGACACAAGATTTTGAATAAATATGCAATCCAACGCAAATTTCTGAACTTTATTTAAAAGAAAAACAAAAGCATTAAGGTTGAGACATTCGTAAATCTCGATAAAGATTATTCGTGATAAATCTTCCGTATTTATTTTACCGACACCAAGACATTGACTAATTAAAAACCCCATAAACAATCTTACTTAACAGAACCATCAAGAATCAAAATCATCCTCGGAGGCATGAGGACTTGAAAATCTTCTAGGTATTTGATACATCAAAGTTGGTCTTTAATTGGTAGATATTGATATGATCATGCAAATGAATGGGTTACGTGTGAACTTTTGGTTCGTAAAATGCACACGTGTGCTCGCAGCCACACACACACACTACCGGCTGCCCCAAACACCAAGGAATGGGGGAAGAAATCAATGCGTGCGAGTTCTGTTGGCAATGGGCCAAATCAATTGGCTAACCGAGGAGCACAAAAAAGAGAAAAGTAAAGATGAAAGCTGTTCGTGTCTACTTTACGCACTAAAAGGCCTCTCCGCGATATTTCTTTTTTCCCTTTGGTGGGACTTGGAAAACATATTACACACCACTTTGGATTTTTCATACAAAAGTTTGTCCAGTCATTGTAAGTTACAAGGTTGAAGGTGATGATCCACTGATATATCATATACATATATATATATATGTGACAATTTCCGTCGTTCGAAAATGCTAATGTCATTCGCTTATTACATCAATAATAATTTATAACTGACGATTATGTTCAGTATAGCCTTTAATCCTACTTCTTTTGAGCATTTAATCCTACTTGTTTAAGTTCCAATTATAAATTTGATAAATTCTACATTTCAATAAGATTGATTAGATGGTATTTCAAACCTTAATCACCTTTTTAAGTGAGGCAAAATTAGGAGTCCATCATTGTGTGCATTCAACTGTTTGTGAACTTTATGCTAACCCTCTTAGCCCCTCTGCCACATGACAGTTAATCCATTTCAAATTTGATGATCAATGGCTAAGTTGTAGATTAACCAATAACTTTTAGATTTGCTTGAAGGAGGAGGCAGACATATCTTACAAGGCCATATAAATGAGGAGGCAGCCAAATATTACTGGGCCAGAGCTAATCTAAGCGAGTCAAAAATTACATGGCCAACAAGAAGCTTTTTTATAAAAAAAATTTATTAAAGAGTGACTTCCAAGCACACAAAAGTTGGGTGGCATCTACCAAATTCTCCAAATCTATAATGACATGCACATAAAAGTCAGCAAACATTACATGCCTATAGCCCCATAGGCCATGGCCAACACCCACTTGAGAGCCAAATTCCCACCTTAAGGATTAGAAGCCCTAGAATCCAAGGCAACACAGGCTCTTTATCCTACCCCACCATTCCCAGCACAAACTCCTCTGGTTTTATTTCTCAGTCTCATCACAAGGATAATATTCGAAGTTTTTCTTACCTTAGTAGTTGAGGGATCTCTCAAATAAGTTTATTTGAGACTACTCTTGTAGTATTTACCCCGCATGGTATTTCAATGATCTGAAACTATATATATACCCCACTCTCTTCTATTACTAAAGCACCAAAATTCACATCAATGTGGGGTTCTTCCAAAAACACCTCCATCATATATAA